GTGTAGATTTTTTTGTTATTTTTTTTTGTTTTTTTTTTTTTTCTTTTTATGGAGTTTTAAGAGTTCTTTATATATTTTGAATTCAAGTTCTTTATCAGATATAAATAAGTCGTTTATCAAATATGTTTTGTACAGATTTTTTTCTCCATTAAGAGGTTTATCTTGACTGTCTTTTGAAGGGCCGAAAATTTTAATTTTGATGAATCCATTGATTGTGCTTTTGGTAACATAACTAAGAAATATTTGCCAACTTAAGGTGACAAAACCTTAAATTTGCATTTCCATATGAATTTTAGAAACAGCTTGTCAATTTTTATAAAATATCTGATTGGATTTTGATTGGGATTGTGTTGAACCTCTAGATCAATTTAGAGAGAATTAAAATTTTAAGTTTTATTTTGAGTCTTAAGCATATCTTTCCATTTATTTGGGTCTTTAATTTCTCTCAGCAAATTTTGTAGTTTTAACCGTACAGGTTTTTGTAGCTTTTGTCAAATTTATACTTATTTCATCTTTTTCTGTGTGTGATGCTATTCTAAATAGCAGTTTTAAATTTTTTCTCATTTTTTATTGCCAATACATAAAAATACAATTAATTTTTGTATATTAATCTTAGGTCTTACATAAGGACTGTTGCTACTGCCCTTTTTATAATAGCTTTTTCCAGATTCCATCAGATTTACTACACAGATGATTATGTTGTTCTGTGTATAAAGACAATTTTATTTTCTAATCTGGATGCCATTTTTTCTTGTCTGATTGTCCTGGCTAGAATGTTGGATAGAACTCGGGGAGACTGCCTGGCTATTTAGGTTTACTCCATGTTGAGGCCTTGGAATTCACTCCGGGTAGTAAGCTGAGGCCAATCATCAGGCTCACCTTGTGTGTTTGCTGTCTCTCAGTTGCCTGTTGATCATTGTCTTGAAATGATTGTTTCAGGCAAGAGGGTAAATTCTGTTACTCCTCCTTGGCGAGAAGCAGAACTCTCTACACTATTATAAATCTATTCCAATCAGGCTTATATCCTCACTACTTACTAAGACAGTTGCTAAATTTATTGGTTATTATGGGTCTTTCTCTTTTTTGACCTTTTAGCAGCATGCGGAGTAGCAGCATGATCAGTTTCTCTTTCTAGGTTCTTCGCTTATTGTGCAGGATACTTCTTGATACTCTTTCTTCCCTGGCTATTCTTTTGCCATCTTGCTTTTTGAATTGTACTCAATTTCCAAACCTTTTAATGTTTAAATGCACCATGGATGCTTGGTCTTTATGCTATTAATATTCTGTAAGTAGTTTCATTCAGTCTCATGATTTTATCTACCTTTTTGTATGTTAATTACTCTAAACTTATATCTGTGGTCCATCACTTTCTCTAGAACAGCATACTTTTATGTATACATTTTTATATGTGGATGTGAGTGTTTCTCCATGGTTTTAAGATTCTTTAGGGAAAAATCTTATTCAAAAGTGATTTTTAACTTTTGGGTTTAGTTTAAGATTGGAAATGTATTAGATACTTCTGTTTGCAAGCAATTGAAACTAACTCTGGCTACTTAAAATACGAAAAAAGGAAATATATCATCAGAAGCTTATGGAATCTCAGGGATAGCCAAATTATAAATAATTGAAGGATAATATAAAGCCTTAGTCAAAGATTTAAGAGTTGAACCAAGAAAAAATTTACATCAAAATTTACTTTTGCAACTAGTAAACATTACTCAGAATATTTTTTTTAGAAAAAAATTAGAAAGTAAAAATCACTCATTACCTCCTAGGTATTAAGGCAAAAAATGAAAAATAAAAACCTAATATTTACCTTAACGTTTGTTTACTAGTAAAGTTATAAAATTGAACACATTAAAATAGCCATTTATAGGTTTGTTTGTGTCCCCCCCATCCCTTGTAAATATCTACTCAAGCTCTGTTCATTAGAGCTTAGTTTTTCTGGGCAAATCTATCAACCTTTTACTTGATATTTTTTCTATCTTTGCTGTTATACTAAGAATGGCTTTCTCCATTTAAATGTAGAGTATTTTAAATGTTTTTGATTCAGTGGATCCATTTAGTTCTTTTTCCTATCTCTAAATACTTCCTTTAGTGATGATGGTCCCCTAGGCCATGGTTCTTATTAGGTCGTAAGGATACATAATTAACACTATTCGTCTCAGATTATTCTGATACTTGCTATTACAGAACACTATATAGTGAGTGCCTTTAACAAGATATTTATTTTTCAGTGCTGGAAGCTGAGACATCCAAGATCAAGGTACAAGCAGATTAGGTTCTTAGAGAGGACCCTCTTCTTAACTTGTAGACAGTTACCTTATTTATCACTTTGTTCTCACATGGTCAAGCACATGTGCTCATCTCTCTTCCTTTTCTAATGCCTGCATGGGGGCCCCACCCTCATGACCTCATAGAAATATAATTATTACACAAAAGCCCCACTTCCAGATACCATCACTTCAAAGGTTAGGGCTTCAACATCTAAATTTTGGAGGGACACTATCAGTCCATAACATTTCCTTTATCCTATCTCTTTTCCACCTCTATCTGAGGTGTGAGGAGGATAATTCTGTTTATTTTTATTTTTAATTTGCTTTGTAAATTAATATTGTAATTCATTCTGTCATTGGAGAAGAGCACGAAGTAAAAACTAAAAATTTTTTCTTTAATCCTCAGGAATTCCATTCCCTAGAATAAGTAATAACGTTATCTGCCAGAATATACAAAAAGTTATTGTCAGTATGTGTACAGGTATATGTGACTAATTTTTTACATTTAGATCTTTAGTCCATCTGGGTATGTGAATGTGTGTGTTTAGTGTATAGTAGGGATCTGTTTCCAAATATTTAGCTCTTGTTTTTTTAGCATGTCTTGACTAATTCAGTATTTCTCCACTCATAGAAAATAATTAACTTCATTTTATACCATATGCCATTATATATATTGGTCTGATTGATGTACTCTCAGTTGTTTTTAAGATATTAATAGTAAGCTTTTTATTATTTTTACTTTAATGCGTTTTCCTCTCTCCTACTGAACCATCGTTGTTTTTGAAATATAGCTATTGTTCCTAGTCTGGTTTCAAGAATTTTTATCAGGGTTTTCACTGCAATTGCATTGAATTTGTGTCTTAATATGGAGAGATTTGAGATCTATATTGTATTCAGTATTTTCATCCAGGAACATGATGTATCTTCTATTTATTCAAGTCAGTCTCTCATTTTTATAGGTTCTTTAGAACTTTATTCATAAGTGTTTTAAATATCAGTGTTTTGCAAGTATTAATTTTTTTGCAGTAAATTTGTAAAGATTATTACAACATTGACTTTATATGTTGTATATATTGTGCATGCATGCTTTATAAGCTTTATTGGTTCTAATAGCTCTTTACCTGGCCTTCTTAGATTTAACTTTATTATTAAAAACCCTTTTTGAAGTTGTTAGATTTTTTTTTTTAATTAGATAATGAATGTTAAATTTTGTTAAATGCCTTTTTAGCATCAAAGTCATATGAACTTTCAGTACGATGAGTAGTCTGAAAATATCCTTACATTCTTGGAGTATACTGTTTGGTCATTGTGTCTTTTTCTTAAATACAGAGCTGGTTATTATAATATATGAAAATTTTAATTAATATTCATACATTTTTATCGTCTGTATTTTCTGGCTTAGTACCAGACTTATCATAGGTTGCTAAAATACATTAGTAATTATCTCCACTTGAAAGCGTGATGGAGCATGGTGGTAAATTTTGGGGCTTGATACTTTTGGGGGGCAGTGGTTTAAAAAGAACCTTTTTCTTCCATAGCTGTTAAGTATAGTCACTGTGACTTGTCTTTTTTTTGTAATATCTTCAGTCATATCTTGGATGGTAGTTTTTGCACTGTCTATCTATACCTGCCTTATTTATTTATGCATTCATTTATTTATGGTTTCTTTCCTCTTGAAAGAGTTCATGGAAATAATATTGTGTAAAGTTTTTGTTTAGAATTGTTGGAACATGTTTAAGCACATTTTTCTTTATTATCTTTTAAATGATACTCTTCTGCATTTTTGTATTAATTTAAAAATATTATTTAGATAAAACTAAACTTTAAAGGTATCATTTATACTTTTCATTGTTCAGTGCTTCTATTGATTTACTTCTTCGTTTGAGTATTTATTTTGTCAAGATACATATGTGAGTTATAAACTCTCCAAGGACTTATTCTTTATATTTTAATATACTTGTCAGTGAACAGCATCTTTCTTGACTTTAGTATTCGTGAATATTAGTCTTATTTCCCTTAAAATGATTTAGATTTGGTCCATTGCTTTTTAGGAAGGGTATTATTATTATTATAAGGGAGAAGTCTGATGTCATTTTATTTTAACTTTTGCTTGTGGCATTTTGTTTTCATCTATGAAATGGAAAAAATTGATTTCACATTTATGTGTGTTTTTTAAATTAATGTTTTCAAGTAGATGGTGTAACTTAAATGAAGTTTGTTGTTTTTTTAAATAGAGATTTTTGATGGGTTCTTTACTGCGGTCTGCGGTCTGCTTCATTCTCTCACAAGACCGCAGTCAAGGCGTCCACTAGGGCTGGGATCTCATCTGAAGGCTTGACTGGGAAGGATTAGCTTTCAGACTTATTTTTTTTTTGGCTCAATCTAGTGCTTTTTCACCACAACACCTATTAATGGGTATTTACTTTATTTGAGAGTCACTCTTTTGGTTTTATAATCATCCCTGGGAACATTTAGCTCTTTTCAGTTCTTCCTTTTATTCAGTGGAGAGAGAGAGGAAGGGAGGGAGGGAGTTTGTGTGTGTGTGTACACATGTACTTACAGGAGGGGAAAAAGGGAAGCAGAGAAGGCAACAGGAGGGGAGGGAGATTAATGATATTTTAGAGTAACATTTTTCCATTTTGAGAGCTATGCTTTTATTTCCCTACCCATAGGTGCCTTAGCTGGACCCATTATTGTGGAGCCTCATGTCACAGCAGTATGGGGAAAGAATGTTTCGTTGAAGTGTTTAATTGAAGTAAATGAAACTATAACACAAATTTCATGGGAGAAGATACATGGCAAAAGTTCACAGACTGTTGCAGTTCATCATCCTCAATATGGATTCTCTGTTCAAGGGGAATATCAGGGAAGAGTCTTGTTTAAAAACTATTCACTTAATGATGCAACAATTACACTACACAACATAGGATTTTCTGATTCTGGAAAATACATATGCAAAGCTGTTACATTCCCACTTGGAAATGCTCAGTCTTCTACAACCGTGACTGTATTAGGTAAGTATGCTTGAATTATATATTTTGGTGGTAGTCATGAGGATTATAATAAAAGTATTTTCAAGAATCTAAATAATTGAAATTATATATAAGTTTAGTTTTAAAATAAAATAATTCAAATATGATTTTTCAAGTTCTGTTTTAAAAATATGATTCTAGGCTCTCTTAATTTAAACAAAATTTTGTCTGTATCTATCTACCTACCTACCTATCTATATAATGCTATGTAGTTCTTAGCTATGTTACTTTTATTCATGAAAGATTTTTTTTAATTTATAATAATACTAAGTGCTGAGTTTCTTCGACATATTTATTTTCATTATTTTTTCCTCAAATTTTCAACTTGTAATTACTATCTTTAAATAGCTCTTCTGTTTTTTAAAGCGACTGTCTTAATGGAGCCATTGACACCTGTTTGTTTTTCAAAGTGAATTTTATTTCTGCTGTTGTGGATTTGCATAGCCATTTGAATCTTGGACTTATTTTTCCTAATGAAAAATCTGCCTTTTTTTGTTTGAAAACTGTTAAAGTTTGTAGTGGAATTTAGAATGAGCTTATTAGCATTAAGGTAGCCACTTGCATGAAAGATAAACCAGTTTAGAAATTCTGGTGAGTACTTTTGAATGGTAAAATAAGGATCAAGGAATAATAGCACCCTTAGCTATTTCCACCCAAAGTGGGACTCCTTTGATGGGGACAGTCTTTGCTCCAAATCGTCTTGTTTGCTTGTCAGAGACTTCATTAGGTCTCCAGATAGCTCCCCCTACTTAATCCTTTTTTTTTTTTTTCACTTTTCTTCCAGCTGTTATTCCCTAATAAGCCTTTTGCACTTCTCATTTGGTCTCAACATCTGCTTCCAGAGGACCAAACAAGTAGATAGCCCCTAGTATTTAATTTCAGAGTCTCTGTAATGTAGGAGGAAAGCAATTTTGTCCAAATTTGTTATATGTTTTTTTCATGTTGAGAGATACTATGTAAATAAAATTAGATATTTGAGGATTTTATATGTTTACTACACTGCCCTGAGAACTGTGGAGAAATATAACTTATGTTTAAGAAATTCATAATTTGAAAAATGTTTCGATTAGAAGGCATGGCAGAAATTACTGAAAAGTCAAGTGCAGGCCATCAGAGTAAAAAGGTCACAGAGAGTTTAATGTCAAGAAAATAATTAATTTGTTTATGGAAGAGAGAGCTCATGGGAATAAACTTTTTTTTGCTTTAAATTTTAGTAATTTCCCCTAAATTAATACAGTACTCAGTGGTTTAAAACTCAAGACTGTACAAGACAGTCATGATTTTACCCATGCCTACTACTTTACCTTCACCTATTTCATTTCTTGTTCTACTCCCCAAACCCAAATTTTATAATCGTAATAAACTTTTTGTAGTTCTGTTAATACCTATTTATGCTTTTACATGTGTTTTAATGCCTGAATTGACTTATTTTTTGTCCTCTCTCTCTCTTCTTACATTCTTGCTATTTAATTACTATTCATCAAACCACATCCTTTGGAAGCCATTCTTGAAAAATCTACCTACCCCCGCCCTCAAAAACACATACACACTCAATTTTCTGGGTTTTTTTTTTTTTGGTTTTTTTTTTTTTTTTTTTTTTTGCTCTTCTGTGGTTGTATCTTCAACATGCCTTCATTGTAGCAATTACCATACTACTTATTATTTGTTTTCTTTACTATCAGTGTATGGTGAGCTATAATTCTATACTTTAAAATTTAACATTATATCCCTAAAACCTATAAGAATTCCTGGTATATAGCAGTCATACACTAAATATTTAAATTAGGATATAGGAATGGATTGGTGAACTTAGTAGTTTTAAAATGTTTTGTAGAAAAAAATAGTTGAGCCAGTTCTTGAATGGTGGGTGGGTTTTGGATAGGCAAAAAGGGAAGAAGTATAAGGAGAGCGTGTGAGCCAACAGTGGGAGGCAGAAAACAATGTACATTAGGGCAGAATTTCTTCAACTTCAGCATTGTTGAAATTTGGGGCTGTGTTACAACAGTCCATTATAGACTGTTTAGCAGCATCCATGGCCCCTACTCAGAAGGTACTAGTAGCAGTCCCTTAGTTGTGACAGTTTAGAATGTCTCCAGATATTGCCACATGTCCTCTGGGAGAGGAGGAGAGAGATTACTCACTGTTGAGAAAACCCTCATTAGTGGAACCACTGAATTATTTGTTGATTGTTCAGAGAATTTACATAAAGTACAATAATTAAAGACTAGAAAGGTAGAGTAGGACCACATTAAAGTTAGGATGGGGAATTTGAGCTTTATATTACTGGAAATGTGAACTGAATGTACAGTGTTGTACTTCTTCTCACCTTCCTTTTTCTCTTCAGACTCTTTCTATTTTTAAGGTATGGTTCATGAACCAGCAGCATTGATATCACTTGGGAGCTTGTTAGAAATACAGAATTTAAGACCCCTCTCAGACTTACTGAGTGATAAATCTACATTTTAGCAGGATCCCCAAGTGATTTATGTGCACAGGAAAGTTTTAGAAACACTGCTTTGACCATCTTTTCACCTTGCTTAGAAGGATGCCTAACTCATAGTAGACCTGATTTAGGTAGTAATGTGATGAAAGTTGTGATTTAGGATGATCAGTCTGGTGTTTTTGATGAAATGAAGAGCTACTGAAATTATAATGCCTCAGCTATGAGACCATGAAGGCTTGAAATTAATCTTCTAATTTCTGCCACTTGAGTGGAAGGAGCTATTATTACAAAGGAATAACTAGGAGGACTTTATGACTGACTGGATATAAGAAACAAGGGAGGTATGAACAATAACAGGTTTTGAACTTTAGTGATTGAGTAAATTACATACCATTAATTTAATAGGTAGTAGTGTTTATAAGATAAAAGTTTTTGAGGGAGATACAAAAAGTAACTAAAGGCCTTGGACTAAGTATTTATTAAGGCAGAGGTTGGAAGAAATAGAGATGAAGAGCACAAAGAGGTTTGAGAAAAACTTGGGCAAAGTAATATTGTTCATATCAAGAGAAGATAAAGTTTTACAGATTAGCAGCCTTTTTCCACAGTGAGAATTAAGCCCTATAGAAAATGATTTGAGTGGCCATTTTTCAGTTCTCCTAAGGATGGCACACAGCTGATATTATAAATGCATAGCTCACAAGTTAATTCACTACTTACAATAAATACCTTAAAGTATTAGTATTTTATTTTTTTTGGAATTTTGGAATTGATTGGGAGGAACCGTGCTGAAGTATCAAAATCTGCAAAGTTAGTCAAAGAGAATAGGCAACGAAAAGTACTGAGCTTGTTGGTTAGAGGATGACATTAGAGTTTCAGTGGAATGGTAGTAATGGAAACCAAATCAAGGGAATGTGATATTACAAAAAGTTATAGCAAAATTGAACAGCAACTGTCCCATAGCAGGAATTGTTATACAATTGGGTACAACCACAATTGTTGTATAACAATTGTGGTTGAGAAATGTTGCTGCTTAAAAAAAATAAGCCACAGAATTGTAGACATGCCATGATTACATCTATCTAGAAAGAGAAATAAAGAGAAAGAAATGGAAGAGTATTAGAGTACTACAGTCATAGATAATTTTTGTTTTCTCAATTTTTAGTAATAATAATTTTGCAGTTGAGAAATAGACTTCTACTGGTGGGTATGATGGAGTAACCAGGACTAGATTTATCCTCTGTCCCTAGGAACAATAAATTCAGGCAAGTAAGGAACAGTTTTTAGTCATTGGACGATAGGCAGTGTAAGATTATGAACCCTGAAAGAAGGAAAACAAAGAAAATGAGTCTTATAAATGTTCCACCTTTCTCTTTCGGCAGTTTCCAGGCTACAGCTCAGTGACAAGGAATTAAAAGCAGAAGATGGTGGTCTCACTGAGTTGAGGAGACAGATTGAAAGTCAGGGAGGACAAGGTGATTCGAATCTGTGGAGGAGAATACTGGAAGAAAGGGAGCATGGAGAGTGGGGAGGAGGGAGGGAAGGAGGGGGAGAAAGAGAGAGGGAGAGAGGGAAGGAGTGAGAGAGGACAAGGACTATAGAGAACACTTTAGAGATACAGAGAAAGGCCCTTCTGAAATCTTTGCTTTAGTACTGATTGGTATATATGTGAGAGGAAACTTTTGAGGTGAGGGATAGAACCAAGAAAAAGCAGTAGATTTAACAATCCTGGCATTTACACAGGGCTGGGAACACTACGTGCCCCCCAGTCAGAGTATACAGGACATTGGATAGCATCTTAAGAGGAAGCAACAACAAAACTGCTAGGGAACAGTACAGAAAAGTTAACTAAAATATTGTATTATATGAAAAAAGTAACTAGATAGCCAGTAAAATCTACAACCAGGAGATTGATTCCCTTCAGAAGTAGAAATAACATAATTCCAAATTGACTTTAAAATAAATTTTTAAGTTTCTCAAAGATAAAAGCTTCTATTTATGATGGCATACATCATTTACCTCTCCAGCTGGGGGTGAAACATAAGAAAACACCATTGAAAACTTCAAAGAAATAACAACATGGTAAGAAATATAACAAGACCAAAATTTTTCTGAAGGTGAAAACAGAAGTAAGCCTAGCACTGAAAGCTGAAAACTGGATTCACTTTGAGGACATTTGACAGTTATGAAGAAACACCTGAGATGCTAAGCTAAGATTTTGAGAGCCTAGAGAAGTGAGACAAATGTCTAAATGCATTTCAGCTCAAGATGGGATGTCTAATAACCCTTTTTATATTCACATGGTACCCAAAGACTTACCTTTTCAGAATAATAGTAAACCAGAAGTAAACCAGGCTTCTTTATGGACTTCTAGTCCTGGTGTATATCACCTGAATAGTCTGAACTTAAATTAAGGAGATCTGGATAGGTTGATGTTTTCAGGAGCTTGGCAGGAGAAAACACAATTTTTTTCCGGAGGAAAGGTACTTTTATTCTATACCTCAAATTATTTCTACCTTTATTATTCAAAAACAGGCATATAGTCTGCTTGAATAACCAGGCATACAAGTAAAGACCTCATAAGCAGCAGTCAACACAAACGACAACAGAAGGACCCACAAAAATATAAGATGTTGTAATTATCAGACACGCTGTTAAACAACAGTGCTTACCATTTGAAGAGATAAGTCACTCTACAAAATTTCTGCAGAGAATAAGAAGCTATATATATCATATAGTAATTGGCCTTGAAGTAGAGAAGTATTTCTTAGTATAAAAAAAGCAGTGAACTATAAAAGGGAAGTAAACACTGATAAATGTTAGTGAATTTGAATTAGAAACTTCTGCTCGTTAGACACACCATAGGTTAAAAAAAACAAGCCCTAATAGAAGATATTTGTAGTACAGTACACACAATCAAAAAAGGACTCTCCTCCCAAATTAATAATTTAAAAAAGGCTTTAATAGGCATTTTGCGGAAGAAATTCCAATGGCCCAAAAACGTATGATAATATCCTTTGTAATCTGAGAAATGAAAAATAAAGTCTCAATGAAATGCCATTACATACCTACTAGATTGGTAGACATTGAGAAGTCTAATAGTATCAATTGTGAGTATATATGGACCGCGGGAATTCTAAGCTTGGAAATAAATTGTTGCTTTGGAAAGCTTTTTTCATTACCTGGTAAAATTTAAAATAAATATAGTAGTAGCAATTCTACTATAAGATAAAAACTAGAGAAACTTTTGTACAAATGTGTCAAGTTACATGTATGCGAATATTTCTTGTAAAATTATACAAAACAGGAAACACCACCAATGTCCAATAATCAATAAATGGTACAGCAGTTAAAATTAACAATTTATATACTTGCATATAAATCTAAATGATCTAAAAATAAGTTAATAAATGAATTGTAAAACAATAAATTAAGGCCAAATATTCCCACATAAGCAATTAGGAATACAAAGTTGAGTCATAGGAAAACCATACAAAAATATATATATTGATTCCGTTAATGTAAATTTCAGAAACAGGTGAAATTTGTGTTGTTTGTATTTGTTGGTCATAGAACTAACATGAAAAATAAATAAAACTTTATTTCCAAAGTTAGTATAATGGTTTCACACTTGGGCAGGCAAGCTATTAAGATCAAGAAGAGGCATATGAGGGACTTGGGAGTTGCTAATGTTTTTTATTAAGCTGTGTGGTGGGTATATGGATGTTTGCTATAAATTATTCATTATATGTTTCTTTTTGTTATTTTACAATAATGTGTCTTAAAAAAGAACTGCATAAGGAAAATAATAATATTCCTTAAAGTAAATTATAAAACAAAAATAGGTAGATACAGACCAAGAACAGATGACATTGAAAGAACCAAGTGGAAATCTTGGAAATGAAAAAATATCTTCGAGATTAAAAACTTAATGGATGCACAGAATAAACTATAGGCTTGAGCCAAAGAATTCGTGAAGTGAGTACTGAGGAATTTATACAGAAAGAAACAGATAAAATTTGCTGGAAAAATGTGAAGAGAGAGCTAGGATATATGGAAGGTAGATTGAAAGTATTTAAGATTAAGATTAGATTTCCATGCTGAGGAATTTTCTTATACCAGAAAAAGATGGGTGGCATGTACACTTCAATAAACATAACTTAATGATGTTACATTTAACAGTGTAGGTTCTCTACTGGTAACTTATTTTAAAATATATTTTCTTTAAATATTTTTGCTGTAAAATGAAGCATTAGATATTAAAACTATGTTTTTTTCCCTTTCAGAGTAATAATACCTTTAATCTCATAATGGAAATTATGATCAAATTCACAGGAATGTTTTGTAGATCCTAATTTTGGGAACTCATCTGTCCCTATAAAGAAATGTATATCTTTACCAGCAGAGCCATCTTTGTAGAGATTATATAAAATCTTGGCTGCTTATTTGTCTTGGCTCATGATCTCTTGTTCCAAGAATTCAAATTGATATTGGCATTACCTAAAAAGTGTGTGTATAGATTTTATATAGTTTTCTCTCAGTTTGTGAAATATAGCTAGATGTGGCTTAGGAGGATGTATATATATTTTTAATTGAAATGTAACTAATTTTTTTAAAAAAATTTAAACAGTTGAACCCACTGTGAGCCTGATAAAAGGACCAGATTCCTTAATTGATGGAGGAAATGAAACAGTAGCAGCCATTTGTATTGCAGCCACTGGAAAACCAGTTGCACATATTAACTGGGAAGGTGACCTTGGTGAAATGGAATCTACTACAACTTCTTTTCCAAATGAAACGGCAACAATTGTCAGCCAGTACAAGCTATTTCCAACCAGATTTGCTAGAGGAAGGCGAATCACTTGTGTTGTAAAACATCCAGCCTTGGAAAAGGACATCCGATATTCTTTCATATTAGACATACAGTGTAAGTAAATGGTAACATTTAATTTTTAAATATGTCATGCATTTTATTTTCATTTTCTTTCTTTGACACAATTCTGTATCAAACTGCTTTTAGTTTGAATATTTAGTATTCAGAAATTCTTACAACTTTTTCTTACATTTTCTCCCTTAATTTTAAAAAATATTTTCATGGAAATTTCATTTAACCAGAACATTTTTTTATCAATTTGTAAAGATGGACAATGATTTTTAAAGTTGTTCTTAAACTTAAAATTATTTAACCCTATCCTTCTTAGACCTTAAAAATAGTCTGGACTTAAGCAAATTGTGAAAATTTATACCTCAAAATGTGCAATACTTGGAGACAAACAATTCTCCCATCTAATTAATTTAGCTGTTATTCAGTTTTATTGATGCCACTCATGGTGTTTTTATTTTTTAGCAAGAATCTTTTACTTCTAGATGGATTTTAATTATTTTGGAAATCTGTAATGTTTTGATATTCAAATCCAGTTTTATTAATCATGTTGTAAGATTCTCATGTAGTTAAACAATATTTTAAAGATGTCATTGGGATAATTGTAGATAAGGTTCAAATCTGGTCCATATTGTACTTTTATATTTTTGCTATGGGATACTCGTTGTATGTATGTATGTGTGTATGTATTTTTCTCTTTAAAGTTTCTCAGTTTTTGATACATTCTTTGCATAGCATTTTAAAATTTGAGCAAGAGAAAAACTGATGGTGCAGATAGCATATAGCAAAAATAATGAAAATTAAGCAGATTAGAGATAAAATTAGAATAAGAGTTAGGTCCTGCTGTCATTTCTATTCATGCACAGATGATAAATCTAGATAGGTTTGTGGAGATATTTTGATCTTTGGGGTTTTTTTTTTTTTCTTTTTGATTTGACACATGGAATTTTAAATTACACAAAATCATTATATTATACTTGGTGAAATGGTTTCTAAAGCTAATTCTAAGGATGTTTTTCCAACATTTATAGGAGTTTAAACTTGAGAAACTGTCTTACGTGAATGTTATTACTATTGTATTCTTGAATACGAATACCTTCATTTCTCCTTCTTTGGAGAATCCAATTAACTTTTTTCTTTTTCTCATAAAATTCAGATCCCAATTGTAAGTATTATTAATATTTTCTTACATTTTTTCTTTCTGTGTCTAGTAATGACTGCAGTTTTCTTCAATTTATATTATGTGTGTTATTTTTTTGTTTGCTTGAATGCAATCTAAAATATATAAACTACTTTCTTCTAATGTAAGACTTTATCATTTAGGTTTATTGGCGTGCTCCTAAAATGTTAAGAGTACTCATGACTTTTTTCTTTTTTTTAATTAGGAGTTATAAAACATGTAAACATAGTTTAAGAAGATAAAATCTTATACCCCAAATTTATATCTCAAAATTTGGAGGATGCCTGTTCCCTCCTCCTTTTAAAACAAACACACAGAAATCTGTACTGTTCTTTGAGCAATATTTTTTAGAACCAATTTTAAGTTACAAAAATGCCTAATTCTGGTTTGCATAAGAGGCAGGTATTTCTTTTTTAAAATTCTAAGGTAATTGTACCTGAGTAAAGGTTAATTTTTTCACTATCTTCTTTAAACCTTGCTTGATAGTAAGTCAGGCTTTCTTGGCAGAGTTAAAGAGTGACCTGGTCTCTCTCTAACTTACCATCTGATCGTGTACTATTTATCTAGTTTACTATGTAGCTCACAGAAAGATGGGGAGCGGGGTCCCTATACCATGTATAAGGAATATTTTCTTAGGAAAGTCTTTCATTACCTCCTCAACCCCATCCTTAGTCCAAATTAGGCCCTTTCTCTTGTCTTCTCCCTTAGCATCCTATTCTTTTCCATAACAAGTTTTAGTTAAATATTTTTAAAATGTCATCTCTCCTATTACTATTAGAATATAAATTTTACAAATACAGAGTCCGTATGTATTCCGAATAGCTAAAATGCTTGTCGCTTATTAGGAGCTAAACAATATGGTGGATAAATGAATGATGAGTGTTGGATTTTATAGTTTGAAGGCATAAATTTATATTGCTGGTAGACAAGGATAATTGCTTACTTAACTAATCATATTGCACATACACTAAAAACCCTTTGGGAACACTGAATGGATACAAGTTCAGATACAATGTTTTAGAATAGTCGAGGCCATAGATAATGTATTTAAGTTATAATTATAGTCTTAGAAAGTTTGCGTCACATCTCTACATGCCCATAGAATATTAATTACTTGCAGTATAGGGAATCTAATCCCTGTAATTGACTTGATATTTTGGGGGGGAAATTACCTTTCAGATTAAACATTTTGTTAAAAACAGGTTTATAGTGTGACTTGGTACTTAAATGTCATGTCTCATTATTGAATTAAGTCCCGAATGTATTTTCTTTGTTCATAGTATTCTACATATTTTATAATAGGACTCAAAGTTTGCTTTTGGTGATTATAGGCTTGTGAATATTCTTATATTCAGTGTTTATAATAACTAGAACTGTACATGCTTATAGTTGCCTAGTGTTTGGGTAGTCATTGTTTTTTATTCATTCTTTTAGTCAACTAATATTTATTGAGTACTGTTTTCCACATTGGTTATGTATATTGAGAGAAGGAAAAATTATTTCTGATCTTCTAAAGTTTATTATGCTTATGCTTTATCATTGTATACCAACTGTATTTATCATTAACAAAAGATAATCTGTTCTGTCATGAATTTATTTTATAGATGCTCCTGAGGTTTCAGTAACAGGCTATGATGGAAATTGGTTTGTAGGAAGAAAAGGTGTTAATCTCAAGTGTAATGCTGATGCAAATCCACCACCTTTCAAATCCGTGTGGAGCAGGTAATAATGTTAGATACTTCTAAAGAGAAATTATTTAAAAGTGAAAAGTACTGTTAAATGCATAAAGTCGTTTTTATCAGTGTAATACATGATTACAGTAATATCTGAAAATTAAGTTAAATGAAGGGTTTCTAAATGTTCTCCTGTTCCATGGCTCTCCACCTGCCTACCCCCAGTTCTGTTCCTCAGAGGATACTTTAGGAAATTTTAGCAGTTCCTCCTGATAGTTACCAGCATAGGTCTTAAACTGCTGCTACTTGATTTACTAATTTTTAACACTATTTACTTCTTTTTTTTTTTAAGATTTTTCTTTTTATTATTTTCAAGGATACAGTACTTGAAAGTTATATAGTTCATGAAACAATTCTCCTGATTACTCTATCTTCCCTCTCACTCTACACCTAGCCATTACATTACTGCCAACTGCATTCCCTATGCTGTAGTCCCCATCCTTGTGACCATCTGTCAGCTACTAATTTGTCTTTTTTAACCCCTCACTTTTTTAACCCTTTGCTGCCAGCCCCTGTACCTCCCTCCCCTCTGGCCATCACCAGATTGTCCTCTGTATTTGTTATTCTGTTTTCAATTAGTTCTTTTTGTTCCTTAGATTCTGCATATAAGTTAAATCATATGGTATTTATCTTTCTCTGTCTGACTTATTTCACTCACTATATCTATTTACTTATTATTATGACATGAAAATTTAATTTTCTATCTACCCCTTCACATACAAATATACCCATATACATATTTCTACCCTTCATAGTCTCAATGAGATTAAGCTACTTTTAGTTAAACTCTGTAGTGATTGGTCGCCTCTCTATTTCAGGTACATTTTATTTATTGAAAGCTAAGTAGTATACCGGAATTCTGTTTTCTTTTGTCTGAAGCTATTTTCCCTGAGATTATTAATTGCTTTTTTTTTTTTACTTGTGTAGCTTACTATCTGAATATCCTTAATTCTCTTTCTCTATGAGATTTCAACTGTTACACTAAGGTTTTCATTCATATTTCTCAATATTTAAGCCCCCCCTTTCAATCTAGAGACTTGTAACTGTCAGCTGTGGATAATTTTTTTATATTTTTGGTCATTTCTCCTCTTTTTTTTGTTTACTGGAACTCATTTATTTAATTTATGAATGTACTTTCTTATTTTTCATATAATTTTTGTTGCTCTTTCTAGGAATTTGCTTGATTTTCCCATTGATTAAAAAAAGTGGGGAGGGCATTTTTTTATTTTCTGGGGAGAATATTTTTATTTTCTAAGCTCATTTTCTTATTCTATTCATTTTCATAGCATCCTTTCTTATTTTATGGATATGGTGTCTTCTTGTTTTTTCATAGGGATGCTAGAGTTCTTTCCTCTGCAGAGACTTTATTTTTTCTATATACTATTTTTTTTCCTCCTAGTTCTCGTGTTTTATTTTTTGTCTTTCATTTTGTAGATATTTAATATTCTCAGTTGTTCAGTCATTTCACACTGATGCATTAAAATGCTGAGTGGAAACTCTCTATAGTAGAGATTACTCATTAGTAGAGTTCACGCACAGTGATCAGGTAGAGAGGTGGTTATTTCTCTGGAGAAGCTTCTGACGTCACCTGTAGAAGGATGAAAGTCTTTTTTTTCATGGCCATTCATTTTATTGAATTAACCTCCTTTTTTTTGCCTAAAACATAAATGCCTGGTATCTGTACAGAGTTAGGAGGAATCTCTTGTTTTGTTTTTTTCAACTTTCAACTAATCTCCTTAATTCTAGCCCTTTGCCTCACTCCGGCCTTCTGCAGTGTAGTGAGTCAAATTCTAAATCTGTCTTCGGTTCTTTGGATCATATTGGCTGCTTTCTCATCCATATGTCTCCTACAAGCACTTCTTCAGCCCAAGGCAGAGCTTTTCAACCATACACTGTTGATATTTAGGGCTGGATAAATCTTTATTTTCTTCCTTTCCTTTTCCTTTTCCTTTTCCTTTTCCTTTTCCTTTTCCTTTTCCTTTTCCTTTTCCTTTTCCTTTTGTGGGAGGCAGTTCTGTAAATTGTAGGATGTTTGGCAGCGTCCTTGACCTCGGATCTCTAGAGCCAGTAGCACCTCACCCACTCCTTCAACCTCCATGCCCCAACCCTGTTGTGACAGCCAAAAATGTCTTCAGATATACTGCTATCCACAAATGACTCCAGACATACTGGATGTCCCCTGGAGACAAAAATCACTTCTGATTGAGAAACACTGGCTTAAAGTATATACTGTTTTCTCCATCTGTTTTCTGTCTTCTAAAAGTTTGTTGAAACATTTTATCTGATGAATTCTACCTCCTATTCTCTTTCTCCTCATTGGTTTGAAAGGTTTTTCTTTACTTTTGTTTTTGGTGGGAATTTGTGGAAGCAAGGAAACAGTCTATTTGGTCAATCTATTGTCTTTAAGTAAAGATACAGTTTTAAAAGTAAGGAAGGTCTTTTTCATTTACATTTTCCTAGAAGTGGGAAGCAGTCCTTGGTTAAGATGTGTGATAGGGTATTTCTAAAAGTCATACAATTCCGTGTTGTCATCCTAGTATGTCTCTACTTGGAGATGTCTTTTTTATTTTTGAGGAAGTCGTTTAACTTCTCTAATCTATGTTTCTTCATTGATAATAGTACTTTATAAAGGTTTTGTCAGGGTAGACACAATGAATATAAATCATGTAACATGGGTGCAAGAGCATAGCATGTCATTTGTTGTGAGTTCAATATAGAGTTCAATTTAGATTTTTCTGATGGTAGCTCATTTGAATAAATGCCTTTGAAAGATTATAAGATATATTTATACTTCTCAGAATAAAAGGGATTAGAATTTGGGGCCCGAAATAGAGTTGGTAAGATATATAGTTCATATTCATTCTTATCATCTTAGAAAAAGAGTTCACCTTTTGAAAGCTGATGCTCGTAAAAATGTTTTTTCCAAAGTCCTCTTACAACAGAGGTTGGGTGTTTTTGCTTTTGTTTTTAAACATTAGAATGTTACTTTTATCCTTCATTGCTAAATAATAGTACTGGCAGCAGTAAAAGATTTTACTTGATTGTTCTTCCACCTACCACCCTTGAGATCACAGAATGAAATCAGTCCATCTACTCTCCAGTGTTGATTTGCTTCATTCTACCTTCTTATTTCCTTTGTAATTAGTTATTGGTCTCCTCTTGTGTACTAGGATCATTGAAAGAAAAGACCAAATCTTACCTCTGCATCTTAGCAGCATCAGCAGAGGAGAGTAGGGGTAAATAATGGGTGGCTGAGTGAAGGAGTGAATGAATTTTTTTGAAAAAATCTGCTTAATTCAAACTATATTAATTGAGTTGGGTTTACTTGAATTTTTTATCCTCTGAAAAATATAACTATGGTCTTGAAAAACAGTTTCAAAATAAAGACCTATTGGTGTTTTATTGTTTTTCGTTTTTTTTACCTTAAGGTTAGAAAAATGAAGTATAATGTTATACTTAGTTTTGTTGCAGTGAATGGCTTTAGAGTTCTTAGAGTGGGTTTTATTCCCATTATGGTTTATAGTTATATATACCCTAGATAGGACTCTTAGCCAAATTAGTATAGGCACCGATTAAAAAGAGTTATTGATACCAAATGGGTGCCTTGGTTTTTATTATCATAGATAGTCATTTTATGAGGAATTATTTTATAAGACCCTTCTTAGTGGTTTAGAAACTAACCATTTTTGGATGGAGCACAGTAAAATTTTATTCTGCATTCAGTGATGCTCTTTATATATGTTACAAAAAAGTGTTAGAACATTATCATGTACTTGATGACTTCATTATGAATATTGTAGCTATATCATGAATAGATCCATAATTCACAGATAATTATTTTAATTCCTTTGATAATATGGGTTTATCTTCAAATGTTTTTCTGATTTTCCAGTTTTCTGAATATAATTCTTTAAAATCACATAATTTATTTTCTCTCCTTCCTTCCCATCCTACAATGTTGGCCTGTCTACACTTATGCATTGATATTTTGAAAGAAAGGGTCTTCTTAATGGACTTTATTAATTCATCTTTATTAAAATGAAAATTCATAACATATGCTTTGATTTCATAGCGAATTACCCATAAGATGCTGGTTCTTTAATAGACATCTCAGAAGTTAATATCTTATTTATAACAACTATCAATGAATAGAGACTCAAGATATTTAAAATAATTTTTTGCTTTTTAAAATCTAGGTTGGATGGACAGTGGCCTGATGGTTTATTGGCTTCAGACAATACTCTTCATTTTGTATATCCACTGACTTTCAATTATTCTGGTGTTTATGTCTGTAAAGTGACCAATTCCCTCGGTCAAAGAAGTGATCAAAAGGTTATCTACATTTCAGGTAAGTTACACTCAACTTAGAAAATGAATTACTTATTCCTATAATGACAGTCATAACAGTAGCACTATGATCGTAGTGGCAGTTTATACTTGTGAAGATATAGATTTCTTAGTATGAGGTTTTCCAAATAACCTAAAAGAGATATAATAAAGAAACCAACCATATCTGAAATACACTTTTTAAGTGACATTCCTTTACGTAAATAAATGTCAAAATGTCTATGCAACAAGTTTATATACATTTTAAGACCTATGAATATAGTTAATTTATTATAGTTAAATGGTATTATATTTATTCCTTTTATAGATAGTGTATGCCTCTCTAGGTTCTTTTGTCTTTACATCAAGAATAAACACTGTTTTTTGTTTGTTTGTTTTTGGTGGCTACTCTGCACATAAGTGTCTGATAAATAAAATAGGATATCAACTTTGATGACCTTGCTGGTTAAATAATATCACTCAATATGGTACTGTATCATATTGGGTTACTGAGAGGTGAAGTAGGAATGTTACTGAAAATCTAATGAAATATAATTTACGGTGTTTTTTTATTGTTAGTCCTTAAACTACTAAGAACTTACATTTTTCACATTCCATTTGTTTTACTGTGAAAGTTTTTGTTAATTTGACGGTATAAATTTGAGTATTCACAAAATATAGTTAGAGCTAAAAATTCATTGTTTCCTGGATGCGGCTATAAATAATAAATTATCAATGGAATTCTTATTTATAAAAAGTATGTAAAATATTTTGAGCATCTCCTTACTGACTATAAGAATGTAGCAATCTTCATGTCTAAATCATGGAAAATTAAATGCAGAAGGAAGAGAACTTTGAGAAATGCAGGTTTGTATGGTCATTATGTAATAGGTAGTTAAGAGTTTTGTTTCTGTTCAAATCTAAAACTTAATCAAATAAAGATTATAGAGAAATTTTAAGCTTGCTTTTATGTTACACTCTCAGTTCTTATATGATCACTCAACTTAAGAACAGTCCCCCATGTTATTTACCACAATTCGTAGTTGTATGCTCATTTATTTACGTATTATCTATTTTCACATTTAAGCAGTTTGTGTTTGCTTTATTTACCACTGTATACTCAGAACTCAGTTAATGCCTGACATATAATAGACTCAGGTTTTTTTGCATGAATCTCATAAGAAGCTTAGACGTATGTACATCCCTAGCCATCTTTTTCTGCCAGCAGCGGTACTTTAGTGGAAATCTGAATGAGATTAAGTATTAGTATATTAACTACCTTTCTTCTCAAGAGGCTTTTTATTTAAAAAAAAAAAAACAACTTAAAGCCACAGGAAATACATATTTATTTATTTATATTTCTTTCTTTCTTTTTTTTTTTTAATGACTTACATTGGCCTATTTCTTTTTTTCCCTGGCTTTATTAGAATATAATAGGCAATTTGTTGCTCATATTTACATTGTACAATTCAGTGAGTTTTTTTTAATTATAGTTGGCATACAATAATATATTAGTTTCAGTTGTACAGTGTAGTGAATAGAGGTCTATATAACTCACAGAGTGATGACCCCACTAAATCAATTCCCCTTCTTCCCCCTTATGTATTAATTACAACATTGTTAACTATTTTCCCTATGCTACACTTTATATCTATCTCCATGTCTATTTTGTAACTATCCATTTGTACTTCTTAATCCCTTTGCCTTTTATCACCGTCCCCCCAACCCCCCTCCCATCTAGTAGCCCTCAAAATATTCTCTGTATCTATGATTTTCTCTTTTTGTCATTGTGATATTTGTTGTTCTCTATCTGACTTACTTCCTTCAGTGCAATACCCTCTAGGTCCATCGAGGCAATATCTTTTTCCATCCCCTTCCTTTTAGTCTGCGTGTGTCTTAATCTGAAATGAGTCTCTTGTAGGCAGCATGTGTAGGGGTCTTGTTTTCTTATCCATTCAACCACCTTATCGTTTGGTTGGAGTCCTTAATTCTTTTCTATTTGAGGTAGTTGTTGATATGAATGTAGTTATTACCATTCTTTATTCATGTTTTTTGATACATGTTTTCTTCTTAAGCCTCTTCAACATTTCCTATGATAATGGCTTGATGTTGATAAATTCTTTTAGCTTATTTTTGTCTGGGAGGTTCTTTATCTGTCCTTCGACTCTAAATGATGGCTTTGCTGGATAAAGTACTCTTGGTTGTAGATCTTGGGTTTTCATCACATTGAATATTTTGTGTCAAGCCCTTCTGTCCTGTATAATTTCTTTTAAGAAATCAACTGCCAGTCTTATGGGAGCTCCCTTGTAGGTAACTAACTGCTTTTCTCTTGCTGCTTTTAAGATTCTCTCTTTGTATTTAACCTTTGGAATTTTAATTATAATGTGTCTTGGTATGGGTTCATCTCTTTGTGTTCATCTTTTTTGGGACTCTGAGCTTCCCGGGGTTGTATGTCTATTTCCTTCACCAGGTGAGGGAAGTTTTCCATTATTATTTTTCCAAATAGCTCTTCAAGTTCTTGTTCCTCTTCAGGTACTCCTATGACCCAGATGTTTCTACATTTAATTTTGTCTCATAGGCTTCTTATTATTATAGTCTTGGCTTCTTTTTTCTTGCTGTTCTGATTGAGTGCTCTTGGCTTCCCTGTCCTCTGTATTGGCAGTTTGTTCACTTGGTAGTTTATCCACTCTGTTGATTCGCTCTGATATACTGTCCATCTCAGATAATGTATTCTGCATTTCCGACTTGGTTTTCTTTTATAATTTCCATTTCCATTTTTATGTTTTTTATCTCTTTGTTAAAGTTCTCACTGAATTCATCTACACTTCCCTTAAGTTCATTGAGCATCTTTATAACCAGTGTTTTGAACTTTGCATCTGCGAGATTGCTTGACTCCGTTATTATTGGATCTCTGTTCTTTCATATGGTTTCTGCTTCTCTGTCTTCCCATTTTGGCTGCTTTTTTGACTGTGTTTCTGTTTCTGTTTCTATGTACTAAGTAAAGCTCCTAAGTCTTGCAGTCTTATTAGTGTGGCTTTGTGTAGTAGGTGTCCAGTGGCACAGTCCTGAGAGGGGTTTGGCTACAGGCCAAGTTTAGCCCCAGCTTGTGCTCCTCTGGGGCCACCTGTTAAAATTCAGCAAGCAATCCACAGATGCTGTGCTTTTAGTTGCCTCAAGAGGTCACACCACAAATCGAGGCCAGCTGCCTCCAGTGTGAGTCTTGGAGTTGGCTCTGCTAGAATCATCTGACTTGCTGAGGATACAGCTGTTTGTGGCTTGGGCGGGACCACCCAGGTTGGGGGAGGCAGAGTTTCAGGGAATCCTCCGTGCTCAGTGACCTATGGTGGCACTATGTCTGCACAATGGGATGGGTGAGGGCTCAACAGAGAGGCAATGGGTACTGCCAGCACTTCTGCCTGGGAGAAAGCCTTGCCTCTGGCCCTTGCTCCAACACCTCAGTATCCCTCTATGAGTCCCTGGTGCCCCCTAAGCAGTCAACCTGGTGCTGATACTCAGAGCGAGCAAGTCTGTCACTGCGAAAGTGACAGACATGGCCCCTTTAAGAGACATCCAGCTGCAGCTGCAGTAGCCTCTGTCCCACTTAACTGCTCTGGATGGGGCAGCCTTGCATCTTTGCCCACTCTTACCTTCTACCATTGCAGGTTGATTGCTTATTTCTCTCCCTAGTTATAGGGCTTCTGTTCATCTAGATCCCAGATGACTCTGATTGCTATTTGCTCTGTGTTTCTGTCTCAACTTTGATATGGTCACAAGAGGGATGAACAAAGCCTCTGTCAACCAACCATGCCGTTTTTTCCCTGACCAGGAAATTCATATTTAAAATGTATTTACTTAAGAATTGCTTACTTTTTGTTTCTGTTGTACAAAATTTGATATGGGATATTACTTGTAAATCTTAGGCTCAATGTGTTATAATTATGTCGTTTAAATATCCAGATTTAATTTGGGCATTCTTATATATACTGATTCCATTGGCGATATCCTAAATTCACGTCTTCTGGCATCCTGGATCCACTTCCCTAGTATCCCTGACTTGTGCGTCCAACTGCCTGTTTATGATCATTAATCCTATGTAGAAGTGTAAATAGGCATTTATAATTTCACATTCAAAACGAAGATCCTGATTTTTCTCCTGCCCCTTGCCACTAAACCTCTTCCTCCAATAGTCTTTTTCCTTTCAGTTATCAGTGACTCCACCCTTACATTTTCTGAGAGTATAATCCTTAATACTTACCCTTGATTATGATTTTTTTCTCATACCCCACCCAATTCATTAATAAATTGATGTCAGCTCTCCCATTATGTTATACACAGAACCTTACCAGTTCTCCACTTCTAATATTCTGGTTTAAGCCATCAGCTCTTACTTCACTATTAGAACAGCCATTTAATCTTCCTACTTTCAATCAGTTATCAAATAAACAGCCAGAATGATCCTTTTAAAGGGCATGTCAGATCATGTCACTCCTCTCATCCAAACCTTCCGTGGACTTCCCATTTTACTTACAATGAAAATGAAATCTTTACAGTGACTTATGATTCTGTACACGTTCTAGATTATCTCTCTGACCTCATCTCTTATTATATCCCTTGCTCACTTGATTTCATTCACACGCCTTCTTGATGTTCTTTGCAAACAACAGGAATATTTCTTCCTCATAGTCTTTGCATTTGCTGTTTGAACAGCCTTGAGTGCTCATCAAATACCCTCATAGCTCTTTTTCTCTTTTCCTTTAGGTCTTCGCTCAAATATTACTTTCATGACTATATTTAAAACTGAAACTTCTCTCTTCTCATTCCTATGTTCTGTCTTCCCTCTCTGCCTTATTTTTCTTTACCGTACTTGTTGCCATATGACACTACATACTTTACTTATATTCTTGTCTCTCTTTATCCCAACTAGAACACAAATCCTAAGAGGGTAAGATTTTTATCTGCTTTAATCACTACTATAGTCTCATTATCTACAGTAATATTTAGCACATACTGGTGTTCAGTAAA